CACTAAACTGGGAGGAGTGGTAGGTATGCTGGAGGGTAGGGATAGGATACAGAGGGACCTAGACAAATTGGAGGATTGGGCCAAAAGAAATCTGATGAGGTTCAACAAGGACAAGTGCAGAGTCCTGCACTTAGGACGGAAGAATCAAATGCACCGCTACAGACTAAGGACTGAATGGCTCGGCAGCAGTTCTGCAGAAAAGGACCTAGGGGTTACAGTGGACAAGAAGTTGGATATGAGTCAACAGTGTGCCCTTGTTGCCAAGAAGGCCAATGGCATTTTGGGATGTATATGTAGGGGCATTGCCAGCAGATCGAGGGATGTGATCGTTCCCCTCTATTCGACATTGGTGAGGACTCATCTGGAGTACTGTGTCCAGTTTTGGGCCCCACACTACAAGAAGGATGTGGAAAAATTGGAAAGAGTCCAGTGGAGGGCAACAAAAATGATTAGGGGACTGGAACACATGACATATGAGGAGAGGCTGAGGGAACTGGGATTGTTTAGTCTGCAGAAGAGAAGAATGAGGGGGGATTTGATAGCTGCTTTCAACTACCTGAAAGGTGGTTCCAAAGAGGATGGTTCTAGACTATTCTCAGTGGTAGAAGATGACAGAACAAGGAGTAATGGTCTCAAGTTGCAGTGGGGGAGGTTTAGGTTGGATATTAGGAAAACCTTTTTCACTAAGGAGGGTGGTGAAACACTGGAATGTGTTACCTAGGGAGGTGGTGGAATCTCCCTCCCTAGAAGTTTTTAAGGTCAGGCTTGACAATGCCCTGGCTGGGATGATTTAGTCGGGGATGGGTCCTGCTTTGAGCAGGGGGTTGGACTAGATGATTCCTGAGGTCCCTTCCAACCCTGATATTCTATGATTCTATGATTATGCTGGGGTGGCTTGTGGTGACGGAGGGACTTCAGCCTAGCCGGAGAAGCCATTCCCGTGCTGCACACAGCTGCTTTTGGTGAAACGCAGAGAGGGCTTCAGCTCCAGCGTTTGCATTTACCTGCTTTTGAGGTGACCCATGAGAACAAATGCGCTTTATGGTTCTCGGCAGTGTCGCTGTAGCTGTGTGGGTCCCAGGATAGGAGCCAGACAAGGTGGGTGAGCTAATGCCTTGTTTATCCTGGACTCTGGTTACCTTCCCCAGCCTTGGGGAAGAGCACTGTGCCACTCCGCAGCTTGTCCCGGCCACCAACAGACGTTGGTCCAATAAAAGCTATTCCCTCACCCGCGTCGTCCCTCTCGCTCTGGTTCGTGACAAAGCCAGTGGAGAGACTGGGGTGTCTGGCTCCCACTTTGAATTCATGGGGGTTGGGCATTCCAAATGCCCCCCCGCCAGGGACCTTGATCCTGCCCCATACAAGTGCAAACACCTGGCGTTGAGCAGGGCAGGGCATGCAGGAAGGGAGCCCAACCTGTCGCTCATGGGAGCATGTTTGGGCAGCCACCAGGCTGCCCCAGACTAGCAGCAGGAAGGGAGCCTCGGAGCAAGCGGCTTTGTTAGCGTAAGAATCGCACCCGAGACCAAATGTCAGATGCCACCTTCTCCAGCCACACCCTGACCCCTTTTGCACACAGCTCTCTTCAGAGCAAGAGAGATCCAAGGGGCCGGAGACGTCCCACCACTCAGCAGAGAAGGCTGCACCCAGCACCTAGCCTCACTTGCACCCGCGGACAGTCTGTTCACCTCTACGCTGGAGCACAATAACCGTGAGTTCCCTGCTGAGCACCGCACGAGGACGTGCAGGAACACGTTCAGAACGAAACCAGGCAGGGTGCAGAGAAGGGCTGGATCTGTCTTGTTTTGTTACTCACCCCTGCCCCCACCAGGTGGAGAGATCAGAGCGACGGGAGCTGCAGGCAATGAGTCCACATGTCCAGGGAAACAGCCCACATCCAAAATGGGGGCAGGGAAGGAGAGTGACCAGGCAGCTGTCTCCACACATTAATCTGAGTTCATTTCCATCTTGGCTCCTAGCACCAGCCTTCTCACGTCCCCAGGCACTCTGGCTGCTGCAGGAAAGGTGGGGGGGCTGGGTCAGTGGCTGGGTAGGGATGGGGCCGAGACAGGATCTCAGCCTGATCAGCGCAGGGAGAGGCCCAAGAACCACCCTTCTACTTCATTCTGTTCCTTCCTGGTACAAAGGACAATGTCAAACCCACCTGGGAAGGAGAGGCAGGGAAGGGCTGGTCTGACGGCTCCTGAAACAGGGTCCCAGAGCTCAGCCCAGTCCTACCCCAGAGTGCTTGGGCCCAGCCCCATCTCAGACTGCCCCAGAGCTTCCATGGGATGCATACAACTGATGTGGAATAATGGTCACTGGCCCTTTAACGCTCAGTGGGGCAGGTGGAGTGCTGTCTCTCTCTGTATCACAGGAAGCCCTCCCAACCATTCCTTAGGCTCCATGAAGCTTGAAACCGCCTTGCTAAGGCCTCTTACCTCCCTCTACCATCTACCCTCGGCCAGCCCTCTCATCTCAGGGGTTTTGGAGCTCACTGGGAATGAGCTGCTGGGACAGACTGCCCAAGGTTCGGGGGTCACTGTGAACCAGCACTGCTGGGGGACATTACTGCAACCAGAGACTGCTGCAGAGCCATGCCTGGAAGAAGCAAACTCCCCGGACAAATCAAGATGCACCCAGGACAAATGGCTCTGCGGAGCTGTCTCGGTGAGCGCTTCCTCTACCCCATTAATCTTGGGACCTCATTTCCCCGTGGGAGTCACACAGACCAACCCTCCTATACACCTCTGTGCCAACGGCCCCCTGGCTGACATGCCTAGGCAGGGCAGACTAGGTGCTGATTGCTGCTGGAGGTTTATTTAGAGCTGCAATTACACCAGGACACCCTCACTTCCTCAGCCCCAACCATGCTCTGTGCTGAGAGCAAGGAAAGCGTCAGCCAGCACCGAACTCTTAACTGGTGTCAATATAGCTATGCAGAGTTACACCCGCTGAGGATCTGGCCCTAATTGCTTAGGAGACACTGCAGCTCTCGTCAGCAAAACACTTGCTACAAAGCAGATCTTTGGGTCTTTGGTTGATGGCCACATTTTTGCTGAGATTAGCAGCCGTCCCACTTTCCCCGACTAGCAATATACCGGTTTTACTTCAGTCAATGTACAGGGGTGCAAGTGGGGCTCTGAATCAGGCCCTCGGTTGCTAAGAACGGCTGAAGTCTGTGAGTGCAGCATTTTGTTCTGTTTGCTGCAGAGATGAATTCAGGCTGATTAAAGCCGCATTTTTAAACACAACGTAAAAATCCTGCTGCTGCCCCATGAACATCATTCAGTGCAGAGACACGCCTGCCAGCCTGGGCTGCATTTCCCTGCATCGGTTCTATTCTCCAGCTCTCCCTTCTTGGGAACATTTGCAGGACAAAAGGATCTTGGCTTTCACAGAGTCAGCTTTGCTGTCTTCTTCTCCCTCTTTTTACTGTAGGATCTCCTAGCAGGGGCATCACAATTTCCACAGCAGCCACCTCACTGCCAGTGGCACAGAGATGGGGTTGGGATTTGGAAGGAGTAGCCAGACAGGACAGCTAGGCAGTTCAAGAGTGAGAGGTGGCCCAGTGGTTCCTGCTGTAGCCTAGGACTCATGTTCAGGTCCCTGCTCTGCCTCTCCTATGTGACCTTGGGCAAGTCATTTAAGCCCAGATCCTCCTAGCTATTTCGGGTCCTAACTTCCTAGCCTCCCTTTGAGGATCTGGGCCTCAGCCTTGCTGTTCCTCATCTGTAAAATGGGGGATGTAGCACTGCCCTAGCTCACAAGGGAGTGGTGAGGATAAAGCCACTGAAGACTGCGAGGTGCTCAAACACTGTGGGCCCTGTTATGCTCAAGATGGAGACGATCAGTGTCATCTCGAGGTTGTCACCAATAAGGACGGAAAGTTAATGGCTACTGGCTGTTTGGTGGCCCCAGTCCAGTTCCTAGCAGAGAAGCGTCCTGTACAACTGGCACTGGTTGTCCCCCTTGTTGGTATTCCCAGCTGTGGGACTGGATGATAGAGACTGAGCGCCTCTCTGATCCCTAGAGATAGTCCCAGTGCCCAGACAGCATGCCTGTGCCATCCCTGCTCTGTAGATGTCTCTCCAGGTCAAGAGGTGGCTGGAGCATGTTCACACACTTCCTTAGATTCTCATCAGCCCCCGAACTGCTTTTACCTTCCGCTGGTTTTATCTTTCCATTCTGCTCAAACCACCTGGAGTGTTGCTAGCCCGTGCCGGGGGTCCACACCGCGGCATCTTCACCGCCGATCTTAACCGGGCAAGCTCGATTAAAGCTAGCACAGGTACGCCTACCCGAGTTGCAGTCACACCTCCAATTGCAAGTGTAGACATACCCTCAGAGGAGGAACCCAGCTCCAAAAAGGATCAGTGCCCCCGAGTAGTTAAACCCTTAGGAACAGGAGGCATTTGAGACTATCCCAGTCATTTTAACCCGAACCTACCGGATTCCGCCTTTTGTAAACCTGGAAGAAGAATTTCAAACATGCCCTGCTCCAGCTAAGAGGCCCAGAAACTTTTCTTGACTTCATGGATATTCTCTTTGGACCAAGGGTTCCACCTAGTGGTGAACTAGTTGTAACCACTTAGGTTTCTGTGGAGAGATGGTCCCTGCGCTTGTTACTCCAGAGGATGCTATTGGACATCAAATATACCAGCTGTGTCAGTGACTTTTCCTGCTCTCCCCAGTCGCAGGGACGCAGCTTGTTGGCTGTTTCCATTCCTAGTCAGCAGCACTGGTTCACTGTGTAATGGTGGCTTCAAGGGGCAGAAGTTAATAAACTGAGCAATTATTTTTAAAACGTTCCCCTGAATAGGTTAAGTGCAGCAGAAATTCAGAGATGTCCCAGGTCCTCCAGTACCAGCTTCCATTCTGCCCTAGCTTTGCTCGGAATAAACCCAGTTCAGGCCCAGCATAAGCAGACACCCCACTTCTTGGGCATCAGTAGGGTTGCATTCGGCTCCGTTGCCAAAGAACCACGAAACGATGAGGCGTGGAAGTTAAAACTAATTTATTTAAGAAAAAAATCCCGTCAAAAGGAAAAATATATTGATTACAAGCTCTGGAAGCTTTTGTCAGAGCAGCAACAAAGAGATCAGCTTTATACAACAGAGCGAAGGTGGCTAGCTAGACAGGCAGGGCTGGCCCCCAGGTCCCCAACCAAACGTCTTCCCCATCCCCGGCAGTGTGAAGGTGAGATAAGGAGCAATTCCCAGCTAAGTTCCATTCCCGTCAAGGAGATCAACTCACCCCCTCCCTCCACTGTCTGTTAAAGTGCTGCAGAGAAGCCAAGGCGGGAAGGGGACATTGGAAAAGAGTCTATGGCACGTACCCCAGCTGTGCCCAGACTCCCTGGTATAGGGATGCCACCCAATCTGTTGCTGGCTCAACCAAGCTCCATACTGAGCGAGGATCCCCAGTGCTCACTGTGCACCCTGGCTCCCTCCCATCAGCGAGAGCGAGGTGCACACGAGCCAGGCGAGCCAGAAGGGCCCCTCTCTCAGGTGCCAGGCGGAGCAGAGAGAGACCCCTCCATGCCCAACAGCTCCTTACAGAACCATTGGGAACAGACACAAATATGGCAGGAGGTTTGGCTGCGCGGTGAGGTGGGGAGAGGAAGGAAGGTTTCTGGGTCCACTTGTAAAACATTAGGCCTCGAGCCCCAATTCTGGCTGGCCCCTGGGAAGGGAGCAACCAGCAACTCAGGCTAGCAAGCATCCAGCTCCGACTCTGAGTGGCTGAATATCTCCCAGTCACTGACCCTTCCCAAGTTGTGGAGATGCCAGGGCTGCCTGGATTCTCCTCTCCCCTAAGCAATATCGGCCTCCCCCAAGTCCCCTGACACTCCCCAGCAGGCCCCGCCTTCCCGCACGGGAGCTCTTCCTTCTCAGCTGGGTGCACACCAGGTTTGCAGTGGACTCAGACTAGGCAGCAAGCAAGGAGAGTCCCTCCTGCCCCTTGCTCTGCTTCTCCTTGACCCACACCAGAGGACGAGGGATGGGAGGGAGCGCCAGGGTCCATCAATAAACCCAGAGACATGAGCAAGTGGAAACACACTGTTTTCTGGGGCAAGACCAATAAGATCCAAAGAATACAGAGCATGGGAGTGCTGGAGAAATACAGAGTCCCTAGGACCCCCCCCCACTCCCTTCCACCAGCCCTCCTGGCCCCTGATAGGCCACCATGTCATTCCTGTCCCAGGCCCCAGCATGCATGTGCATCTCCTCCCACCCTCAAAGCCCAGCATGCCCAGCACACACCATCTCCGTCCCGCGGATAACCAGCACTGGGGATAAAACCCTTCTTAGGCGCCCCCATTTCCCTCCTGGAGTCACATTCGGGGCAAAGCAAGAACCAAGACTTGCCTGAACCCAGAGCTGGGTGCAGTTTCAATCAGCGAATTCCTCTGGGTATGGAGAAAGAAAGATCTTCTTTTCCCCTAGCCAAGGCCTCAGTGTTGAAGTCTCCCTACACCACCCACCCCGAGGGACAACAGAGAGGCAGGGCACCCCTGCCCTACACCCTCAGGAGGCTGGAGGGATACCCCACTCCCAGGAGGCTGTGGGAAACAGCTCACCCTCGCAGACATCCCAGGAAAGCAGCAGGAGGTGGAGCAAAGAGAGGCTGGTCCCCCAGCAAGAGTCCGTTAAAACTACGGAAGTAAAGGAAGAGAAAGCATAAGAGGCTCTGAAGCCCGGTTCCAAACCCTGCAGAGCCAGTCTGTGCCAACCTCAGGCCCTGAGGGGTCCCGTCCTGCCCCTCCCAGCTGCTGCCCCTAACCTCCCGCCCTCTCACAATATATTATCACTATGATGTGCAAGTAGGTTTGCTCAGATCCCCCCCCACGCTCCCATCCCCACGTCTCAGCCCAAGCTCCGTCTGCACCTCGGACGTTCTTGCCCACCCCACTGCGCCGCTAAGAGCAAAGCATGATGGGTAGTTAGTAGACAGGTAAGACACCCCGCAGCCCCACCCCCTCCCCCGTGCACCACCCCCCGTCCGCACTGCAGGCTGGAAGGACAGTCCTGGAGAGCGTGGGTCACTCCTCGCCGCCCCGCCCCTCCTCGCGGTGGTGGTTGGAGACAGGAGCCTCTTCCGCCTCCTGCTGGTGGTGCGCGTAGTGATGGGGGCTGGGGCCCTCGGCGGGCAGGTTCTCCTCTGCGTTCAGGTAGACGTTGAACAGCGCCCCCTCGTGGCTCGGCTCCTTCCCGCAGGCCTGGCAGCTGCAGTGGAGGATCTTCTCCACCAGCTTGTCGACTCTGGGGATCTCGGCGTTGCCCGGGCACTCCAGCGTCACCTGGATCAGAGGAAGAGGAGCGGAGTGAGCGGGAAATGGTCCCCCTCCCCTCCAAAACATACCCCCAGCCCACTGCAGGGCTGGGCGGGGCACGCAGCTCGGAGCCCACTCTGCCCCAGTCCAGCTGGAAGCTCTTATGGGCAGGGTCCGTCATTTCCTAGGAGTCTGCAAAACCCACTGGTCAGTGTCCCATGTTCAGAGAATGCACGTCTGTTACAGCTCAGCAAGCCTCAAGTTGCGGAGCTGCAGTTTCCAACCTTTTGACACCTAAGATCACTTTTTGAACCGAAGGGCAACTCAGGATCTAACCCGCCCCTTCCCCAAAGCCCCGCCCTGCTCACTCCATCCCTCCCTCTCTCCATCTCTCGCTCTTCCCCGCCCTCACTCACTTTCACCAGGCTGAGGCAGGGAGTTGGAGTTCGGGATGTGGTGAGGGGTGCAAGCTCTAGGAGGGAGTCAGGATGTAGGCGGGGGCTCCGGGCTAGGGCAGGGGGTTGGGGTGGACGAGGGGGTTCAGGGTGCTGGCTCTGGGAGGGGGTTCAGGGTGGGGCTTGGGATGCAGAAGGGGGTGTGGGGTGCTGGCTCTGGGAGGGGGCTCAGGGTGGGGCTTGGGGTGCAGGAGGGGGTTTGGGATGCTGGCTCTGGGAGGGGGCTCAGGGTGGGGCTTGGGGTGCAGGAGGGGGTGTGAGGTGCTGGCTCTGGGAGGGGGCTCAGGGTGGGGCTTGGGGTGTAGAAGGGGGTGTGAGGTGCTGGCTCTGGGAGAAGGCTCAGGATGGGGCTTGGGGTGCAGGAGGGGGATAGGGTGCTGGCTCTGGGAGAAGGCTCAGGATGGGGCTTGGGGTGCAGGAGGGGGATAGGGTGCTGGCTCTGGGAGGAGTCTCAGGGTGGGGCTTGGGGTTCAGCCTCCCGCTGGGCAGCACTTACGTCCTGTGGCTCCCTGTCGTTGGTGGGTGCAGGAGGCTAAGGCAGGCTCCCTGCCTACCCCGACCCCACACCACTCCTGCACCCCTTCAGCCCCTGGGATAGGGAGGAGGGGGGAACGAGGCTCCATGCGCTGCCACTCTCTGAAAGCACCGCCCCTGCAGCTCTCCCGGCCAATGGGAGCTGCGGGGGCGGTACTTGCAGGCAGGAGCAGTGCACAGAGGGAGACCCCTGCCCCCACCCCACCCCCCAGCCTGCGAGGCTGAAGTGGCTGCTTCCAGAACCGGTGTGGGGCCAGGGTAGGCAGGGAGTCTGCCTTAGCAGCAGCCACATTGTGCTGCCACCGGGGATCGTGATCGACTGGTTGGTGACCACTACTGTAGAGACTCTCAGCTCTGGAGGCCCCAGTTCAATCCCTGATGTTGGCCAAGGGGGAGGAATTGCATTTGTACAGCACCTGGCACAGTGAGTCCCCAGCCAGGCACCACTGCAATAGAAATATCAAATAATAAGAAACTTGGCTGGCCCTTGCAAATGCCCCCATTAGCTGGGCATCCAGAATCAGACGTGGCTTTGGAAAGTTTTGCCCTAAGTCACCTGCCCCAAAGGCGCCCAGCGAGTCAACAGCAGAGCTCAGAACAGACCCTAGTTCTCCTGACTCCTAGGACCAGCTGGCTTTAGAGCCCCACGTATGCATTTAGTGATTCACATGCACTGGGGGCATCCCTGAACCAGCACCAAAGGCAGGGTCCCAGGCTCACTCGGATTAATGGGGCGATGCCTGGGGCATGCGAGGGCACAGAGACGTTGCTGGCGAGGAGATTGGTGGGTGACTGGCAGATGAGATGTGGGAGACTGTTTCAGGCATGGAAGAAGGCACAAAGCCACGAGTGGGAGACAGAGACAAAGGGAGGGATCAGACGAGAGGGCATGTGGGCGTGACAGCAGAAATTAATAATGCATGGAGTCACGGGGCGGAGGGATGGCTTAGCAAGCGTTTATGTATTTATTATTATTCATAACAATAGACTTGCCTGGACTAGCACTTTCCATCTAAGGATCACAGGGCACTTGAGAGACGTCAACAAATCACCCCATGCCCATGGCACCAGTGGGGAAACTGAGGCACAGAGCAGGCAGGACTAAAATCCGGATCTCTCAATTCCCAGGCCTGCACCCAAACTGCAAAGCCAGCCATCCCCAGGTACTCAGAGGGCCTTAGAACAGGAGGTGTTACTCACGATTTCCCACATGGACTGCGCGGGCATGCAGGAATCACAGTGCACCAGGGACTCCGTAGACTGAGGGAAGGTGTTGGGGACGCTGTAGCTGAAGCACTGTCCCAAGCAGGCCCTGTGAAGAAAAGGCAGGAGTAAAGCCCATGTAGCAGAGCATTAGATGGGACTGGGAGCTTGATGCAAACCAGGCACGAGATGCTCCCTGCCTAGGGCTCTGGTAGCAGGCAGTGCTTGCCGGAGGCGAGGGAGGTAGCAAGATCATGGTCTTCTACCGGGACAGGCTGGAGATAGGTGGCTAGAGAGCTGTCACAATGGGAAAAGAGCCAGGGCTTCTCTCTGCAGCCGCTCAGCCCCACAACCAGAGCTGCTCCAGCAGTGATGAAGCAGGTAGCGTCTCAATGCAGCACCCTTCTCCTCCGCCCCATGAAAAGCTCCCCGTATGCCCTACAGCGAGCCAGCATCCGATGGGCCAGAGAAGCAGAGGTGGGACTGAAGGACTTGGACGGAAGTGGTGGGGAGAGGAAGGAGGAGTCCTTGCCGTGGCTTTCCTATGCTGGGACACATACGGCCTGCATGTGTGACCCCTGGGCTCAAGGAGTGACTCAAAGCGTGACCCAGTTGAACAAGATAAAGCTGCATTGCCATAAACACTGTGCACACCCCACAGCCACTTAGGATGTCGGGGGGGGAGAACTCAGATTCTCATACATCAAGAGCCCAGCTTGCCACTTGGGAAAAACCAATTGCACTACAGGGTCTATGACACAGCTGAGCAGTTCCGAATCCATCCAGTAGAGGGCAGTGGTGTGCACACAAACGCCAGCTCGTTACGGTATCCTGCTGTCAGTGACCAGAGCAGGACGCAGGGGCTGTGGCATTGTTCCTGGACTCTTCCAGGAGAGGACATCATCAGGGTCACTGCAGCTTGAAGTCACTTGCAAGAGAGTCACACTGCGCTTTAAGTCTCTTAAGAGGGAAATGAGGGCTTGAGTGCACATTTCCGTCAGTGTCTCCCAGCTTGGAGAGTGGTAACAACCTCTTTCTAGGAACCTCCTTCTAGTTCTGGCTCTGCCACCCAACCAATCGACTCCCTACTACAGCCCCGTGTTGCTAAATCCAGATGGTGCCAACTAGGGCTCTGATCCTGAAATCGACTCAAAATCTTCTGCCTTAGCAGGGAGTCTGCATCAGGGAAAGTAACCTGAATAGTAAAGGAAGCAAGTTGCATCTTGAGAAGCCCTGGGCTGCATTTCAGCCTGCTCCCCCCGTACCTGTTCTGGATGGACTTCGACTCACAGCCACTGTGCCCCACGATCTGGGTGATGTTCTTCGCCTCACACCACGCACTCTTGTCTGGGAAAAGGGCCAGTTTGTTAATGGGAGGTGGCGCAGCCAGGATCACAGCTGGGAAGAGGGCAGCCACCAGGAACCGTAACATCATGGCCAGCTCCACCGAAACCCTAGAACTAGAATCCAAAGAGCAAAGCTTGAGCAGGTGAGAAAGTGAGCTCCATCCCCTCCCTCAGATCTCAAAGCGCCTTAGGATCCTTCCTGCACTAAGCCCCACAAGCCCCCTGGGAGGAAGGAGCGAGGTAATACCCATTTGCCTAGGTTCCTGTGGGCCCTGCCTCAGACTGGGGACCAGACAGTGAGCACTCGCCCATCCCACCCAGATGTGCCCTATAAATCAGGCCCTATATGATGCTGTAAGTGCTGGAGTCTGGTCCATCCTTCCTCTGCAGTACTGGCCTCTCTGCGAGCCAGGCATTTATCCATCACAAGCCAGGTTAGAGGGACGGGAGCGAACGGCAGGGCAGAAGCTGGGGGTTGCTCCTGATGGGAGGAGGCCTGGGTGAATCATTTCCTTGGGCTTTATGGGGGACCAAACCCAGGTGCCGCAATGTGTGGTGGGGGATAGGATGGATCACAGCAATGGAAGCCGAGCACCACTCCCATCACCTACTGTCCTGAAAAGGCACTCGCCCCGCTCCAGCGCGGTCTGCTCCACAGATAGACCTGCTAGCGGAGAGGCCAAACCCCCCTCCAACAATCTCTCCCTCCCCCTGGCACCTGGTGCATCCTCACCGAGGGGCATGTGGTACCTGGCACAGCCCTAGCATCGTCCTGCTATGGAGACTGCAGCAGAGCCCGGCACCCAGGGGGTTGGTGACGGCGCCCCCAGGGCCACGGACACAGTATAAAGTGTCATGTATGCCTCAGTATGACAACGGATCATTTCTAGAGCATGGCAGATAAGGCCCAGGGCTGCTCTGCCCTGAGGAACTTACAAGCCACACAGAAAATAGCAACAAGGGACCGAGATTTGCCCCATTATTTCCTGTTTCCTTGCTCCTGCATCCGCCCCCACCTTCCCCCGCCCCGAGCTTTTAATGCTCTCCATCATTATTCTCCTGCTGTGGGCACAGGGACTTGTTACGCATGAGCAGGTCCTGCACTGCGCAGCGTGGACCTGGGTGGCACGGAAGGGGTTGGGATGACAGGATGCCCCTTCTCTCAGCAGCTGGCAGTCTGGGAGGAGGCCAGAAACACCTTGGTAGACTCTGGCGAGCTGAGTAGGGAAAGCAGAGATTCAACCATCTCCTAGGGAAGATTGGGGTTTGTATCTAGTGCATCACCTCTCTGCTGCATACACGCTCCACACATTGCCATGAGAACTGGCCGAGCAACCAGTGCCAGCAGGCACGGCCCCTCACACAGTGGAGAGATCTGAGCACTTGCAGACCTGGCCCTGTTTGCACACCAGAGCCGCTGTCACCCCTAACCAGATGGAGCAGAAATGGGTGCAGGAGGGAGCTCAACACATCAGAGCTAAGACATCCTGCAGGAACAGAACCTCCCACCAAGTTTCTCCTGGGGGACTGGGGGAAGGGACTGAGGTCAGTTATCACCTGAACCCTACACTGAAGGCATTGGGCCAAACCACAGCTTTCTGGAAGGGCTTGAATTCACAGTCACTGGTCCCTGGTTACATGTGTTACCTTGCACCACGCGCTTTTATCCAGAAAAAGAAGTCACTTACACCCCAGAGGGAGCACAGCCCACTGGTGAGAGCAAACATCTTAGAGTTAGGAGACCACAGATCTGTTCCCAGCTCTGCCACCAACATGCTGTGGGGTAACCAATTCACTGGGCACTATGCCTCAGTTTACACACAGAGTAAAAGGGAGATAAGAACACCTCACCATAGTCTTTGGAGGGCTTATTCATTTGGGTTACAAAACTGCCTTAAAATCCAGGTGGAAGGAACCAGAGGAAAGCCCAGTAGGTACAGATGGGCCTGAACCATCAAGTCCAGATCCGAATGGGCCCAAAGCTTTCAGGGCTGAGTCCGTCTCTTGGCAGCACTGACAGCAGCAGAGCTGGGGAGATGAGTGTCTCTCCTGTAAACCACCGAGCAGGGTGCCCTGTGCCCCGAGAACCCTTTGCTTTTGGGTTGAGAAAGGGACCTGCAGGAGAGGCCTATTCCATTGCCTTATCCCACCATAACCCTCTGCCCGTTCAATCGCAGACCGACTCAGGGCCAGCAGCTGATGCCTACCTGTGCCAGCAGCGATCTTAATCCTTCCATTGCTGCTCACAATGTGCCCGAATAATAATAAGAAAAAGCATCACAGGAAGAGGTTGAGCTGCTGTCTGGGGCTTGGTCTAGAGTCTAAGCACTTGCATTACAAACCTCCCTCCCACCCCAGCCTTCTTCCTAGTTAATATTCATGACAACATCTCTTCGCCGCTCTCTGTGGTCTCCAGCTGCCGGGCAATATTAAATTATCCCGTGACTGTTTCACTCCCCTCCCTCTGGGGCTAGCCAGGCCACTTCTCTGACCCCTCCTGCAGGTCTCGGTTGGGGTAAGTGTGCAGTGCATCATTCTGTGTGTTTTATATTCAGGGCCAACGAGGAAATCACCCATGGTCATTCGTTGCCAGGGAGCAGAGAGCTCAGAAGTTAGAAGTGAAGAAACCGCTCTGACTTCTGGTGCTAAAAGCAGCCCTGCAGGAGGTTGGCAGCACCTAAGAAGCAGGCCAGAGCTTAGTGTAACTGTCCTTCAGAGCTGCGAATGCTTCTTATTACGGCCTAGGGCCACAAACACCGACAGCACAAGCCTCTGATAGCTGCAGCATCAGGACCAGGAATTCATCCTCTTTAGATCAGAAAGCACAGTGAATTATTGCCTAGGTGTAGCTGTGTGCCACTTACAGACAGCGGCCTTTCGCTGAGGAGCAAAGGGATCTTTCGCTATCTAGAGCTGCCTTCCATATACAATCGGGTTTCCTTGCATGCAGGCTAAGAAACTCCAGGCGTTTCCATTCCCAGAGGTTCTTCCCAGTTGCCCCATCAGGGGAGCAGAGTTTGTCTCCTTCCCACTCCAGAGGGGTTGAAAGTTGTAAAATGTGTATTTAGACTGGAGAGGTGCAGGGAGAGAGAACTGTCCCCAGTTCCTGCTACCTCCATTAAAAGACAAACCACAGTCACCGTTAACAAACCCTCTTTCCATGGCTTCTTCCATTAGCTCAGAAACAAGATGCAACCAGTTTACTCGACGGAAAGAACTAAAGGCACAAGCTAGGGACTCCGAAATCACACTCTTGAACCTCCTCCATATAAGCTCCAGGTTTCCTTAGCAGTCAGAGAACTAGACAGCTTCATTTCCAGACGTCTCCAGCAGGTGTCGCTGCAGGGCAACACCAGGTAGTGGGGTCAGGAAACCTCAGGCTGCATGCAAGGAAGCCAGGGAAATGCCCAATCTATATAATTTGCTTTTATGGACCCATTCAAATTTAGTGACGAGTGGGGTGAGGTTTTCGATTTGCATTAACCACAAGGACTGGGACTCAGTCTGTGGATTGGAGGATTTCTTGAGAGTGGAGGTATCAGCGTCGAATATTACTTACCACCAGACATATGTTTCCTTCTAGGCCAGAAACACAGAATATATGGAGAGAGAGGCCTGGACCAAAGTGCCAGCTATTAACACCCCGATCACTGGCGAAAAGCAGGCTCCATGGAAATAAGAGATTTTTTTTTCCTTCAGAGGGTTTGGATGGAGTTGTGGCTGGAGTCAGACATTTGGACTACTTAAAATACTAGTTAAAAGCATTTGATTTGTTATTTCCGTCTATTTATTTATCCAGTGCCTGATCCAAAACCCACATAGAAGCCAATGGAAAGAATCCCACTGATTTACATGGATCCAGCCCTAAAAGGTTTGCTGGAAGCATATTTGCTGGAAACACACAAAAAATTACAGCCCAGTGTCAGAGGAGGCTCTGGATAAGAGAGTCCCAACCCTCTGCCCCTCCTCTTGTCATTCAGATAATCTGTATGCAACTCTGCAGGGTGAAATGTACCAGATTAGAGAGTCCCCAGATGTTTTCTGTAAAATACGATAGTCTTATTTTGCAGCTCCTGTGACTCACGGATTCATACATTCATATACTTCATGCATCCGATTAAGTGAGCTGTAGCTCATGAAAGCTTACGCTCAAATAAATTTTTTAGTCTCTAAGGTGCCAAAAGTACTCCTTTTCTTTTTGCGAATACAGACTAACACGGCTGCTACTCTGAAACCATACATTTTAAGGGACCCTTAGATCATCTGATCTGGCCTCCTGTATAACGTAAGCCGTAGGCTTTCACCCAGTTACTGCTGCACTGAGCCCAATAACTTGACTCAAGTTTATCTCCCAGAAAGGCACCCAGTCTTGATCCAAAGACATCAAGCGGTAGGCAGTCTGAATGCTGTCATCTCTCAGCTCCTCTGAAGGGGTGCTCAGCACCTAGGGCAACCAGCCCTTAGGCTGAAATTTATGAAGAGTTTCATTTATTTACTAGCCATGATGTAAGAAAAAATCATCTTTTTCTTATTGCGCTGATACGTGATGCTTACAAAGCTTGTCTCTACAAGCCTCACTCACACCAGTAGCCTTCATCGACATGCATTATTCCAGAGTTGTCAATGGAGCTCCTCACGTGAGTAAGAGTTTGCAGGCTCCAGGTGAGCTGCGTCGGGGATCTAGCCTTTTCAAAGCTTCCACTGAAATTTAAGAAGAGTTGGGTGGCTAAATCCCTTCACCGGCTCAACCTCGGGTTCTACATTTCTCCCAAACTGAATCGTGGGGGGCCGATCCTGCTCCCATTAAAGTCAACGGGAACTTTGCCAGCTCCTTGAAAGAGTGCACAATTAGGCCACAAATAATTGCGTTTAAAAAACAATGCGAATTGCACAGCAGCATCGTTAACCTTTAAGATATTTATCGGTTGTGGGGAGGAGTTCTACACAGGCTTACAGACCTGCCTGTGCAGATCTGATTTCAGAATCAGGGCTCCTGGAGACCCAAAGAGCAGCACGGAGTTCCCTGAGGGGGCGTTAATATTTCCTCTGGGGTTGGCGTGGCACTTGTTTAGATATTCCAAAGAGAAAAGCGATTCCTTCTTTCCACAGAAGGC